GCGCGCTGGGGGCCTTGCGGTTCCGGGTCGCTGCTCGGCTAGCCGGCTGGCCGTGGGGGCCGGTGACGCGAGCAGGTGCTCACGAGAGGCCCCGGAGGCGGGGCTCTGCCGGCTGCCCAGAGAGCGGCAGGTGCGCGGGCCGGGGCTCCGGGGACGCGAGCAGGGCCCCTCATTCTCCGAGTTGTCTCGGTTTGTCCCTAAAGCGGCCCGGACGGGGTTGCCCAGGACCCGAGGCGGGGGGCCGTACCGGGGTGTGCGAGCGGAGGGTGGGGACGGAGGGGAGCCGCAGCGGCCTGGGAGTCTGGAGCCTCGGGTTCCAGTTTTCCTCCCTTAGCGACCTCGGATAAGTCACTCCTTACTGGGACTCAAGTTTCCCTGCTGTCAAATGGGAGAGATGTTGAATCCCTCCCTCCTTTGACAGTACAAGCGCGGGCGGGGCTGGAGGGAGCCTGAGGGATTGGAATCTGAACTGTCGTGGCAGGTACCTACCTGCCTCCTTCCCTCCCTGGGCGTTCAGGCGTCTTTTACCCAACTTTGCCGTCCTTTTTCGCAGCTACTATCTTAGCGCGAATCAAGGCTGTGTGACCAGAGAGCCCAGCGTCTGGCCAGGTAAATAGTGTGTGACTGTGAGAATCAACTGAGAAATAAATACCAACCCTGGGAAACCTTAATCTCATTCAGGTTGTTTTGCTAAGGGCTCCCAAGGAGAAGTGAGTTTCAGTACCTACTGCAGTGAGCAATTCTATTCCTTGTGCCTGTAAGCGAAACTCTTAGGTAAATCACAAATGTTAAAGGACACCAGGGTGAGGGAGGATAGCCTACTGAGAGTGTACTCTTCTTCCCCCACGTAATCCTCTCTTCCCTTCTCTTCCTCCTCTTCTCTCTCCCCACCTCCACCTAGCATTTTGGCCTTAAACTTAAAAGAAATATCCAATGGATTTTATCTTTGTCTTCATGCAGGACAGAATGCTTTGATCTCCAAGCTGTTTTAAATGTAGTAGAAAAACCAGGTGAGTAAGTGGTTTACAGACATTGAAGGTAAAGTTTTTGAAGAATTGTACAGACTTAATGGATGATCTGAAATGGTAAGAAGTTATTTGTTCATCTTGGAACAAAACTTAGGTATACTTTACAAAACACGGTAAGTTAAAGTTGGAACTAGAATTAGTAGTTCATACACCGTTGGGAGGAAAAGATGTTTGAATCTCATGTTGAATATCATTCTGAAAAAAAGAAATTCTGATTCGAGATAATTTTATCAAACTCAAGGAAAATCACACAACATTTCCAGGAAAGATTAAATATATATCTCATACCTATATAACATAGTTGCCTAGCTTGACTGCTTTTTTCTAGGTTATGAGCTTTTTTTTAGGGAACAGCTGATTGCAAGCCACCCTGGAACATTAGAATGTCACAATTTTTCCCCATATTGAGTTACATATGTTTTTGCCTTAAAAAAAAAAACAAAAAAAAAAAAAACACCACTGCACTGTAGTCAAACTTATTATTGGGGAAAGGATTTGAAAGCATTAAGTCATGATTATGTGATGTTAATGTTTTGCCTGGGAAGTTTTACTAACTGTATTATAGGCCATAGCCAACATGGTGTAATAAAAATAGAGACTAGTGAGTCAAAGAGTTCTGTGTTCAAAGACCAGCCCTGCCACTTAGACACGCAGTCTTTGGCAGGTTACTTCATCTCCTTAAGACTGGATTTCCTCATCTATATGTGTATACGAAGCACCTGAGTGCTTTGTAAATGTTTTGTAATTCTTTTCTATTAAGTGTACATGTAAGTTATGAAACTTAATTTTGAAACATAGCAACTCCGATGTGAAAACCTTCCAGTGTTTAACTTAGAGTTGTCTCTTTCATCTGATTTATAGATACTGTGTTGCCATTAGCCCTTGGCCCACCTTTAAGTGGTAATGCAGCTAGCTTGGATGTCTGAAACTCTTTAGGCACCCGTATTGAATCCAGGTCACTGGCGTGAGGACTGCTGGAGTTATTCAAGAGCTAGTCATCCGTGCAGGATAACCACACAACAAAAATGTTTGCTAAACTAAAGAAGAAAATTGCAGAAGAGACTGCCGTTGGTCAGAGGCCAGGAGGTGCTGCTAGGATCCCACGGTCAGTGAGCAAGGAATCAGTTGTCTCTATGGGAGCTGACTCAGGAGATGACTTTGTAAGTATCTTCTGTAGTTTTTTACTTTGTGGTGCAGTCTCAGTATATGTTTTAAATAATATTGCAGAGAATCCTTCCAGTATATATTTTCTTTTATAATTGCATGATTATTTCATACCTTTTATAGTTTATAGGTGTACAGGATCCTGCATGACTGATTCTTCTTACTGTGAGATTTCTTTTTGTTAATGTTTGATTTGTTAATGTTAAGGCACTCTATTTTTTCCTATTTTTATGTGAGTCCCTTTTCATATTCTCCTCTTTCCATATTCTCCATATACATTGTCTTCTACTGTTTTTCCATCTGTATACCTTGTACATCTTTTACATTTCGTCTCTCCAAATGTCTGGGCCTGTTTTCTCTGTTTACATTATACGCAGACATGCAATACTGTAAGTCATTGTTTAACAAGGTCTGTGAGTTGTGGTGTGGGGTTAGCCAGAATGTACTGTTTTGTTGTGAAAGTTGATGGAAAAATGGCACCGATGGTGATTACAGTATGTCCCTTATTTGTTAAGTGCCTGTTGTTGGTAGAATTTCAAAAAATGAGGATGATGCTGTAAGAGAAATGTCATGCTTAAGGATTAAAGTGTGTCTTTGGCATATGACAGGATCCTTTTAAGTTAGAGAACCTTTTTACAAAATGACTTATAATGCCTGATATATATGAAAGAATGTGAGTAATATATATGTAAAGTATAAACTATTATGTATATGTAAAGTATAAAGTATAAAGTAAATCTATCATCCATCAAAAGAAATAGAATATTATCAATACTGTTGAAGACCCTTATGCTCCTCCCCAATTTCCTCTCCCCACTCCAAATAATCACTATCCTAAATTTTATCATTCCATTGCTTTTTAAAATATCTTACCAGATATGTATGTATTCATAAACAATTTATTGTTTAATACTATTTATTTTCGAACTTTATAAAAATGGTATACTGTAGTCTTCTTGGACTTTTTTTTTCTAACTCAACATGTTTCTAAAATGCCTCTGTATCACATGAAGCTGTAGTTCATTTATTTTTACTGCTGTATAAGATTCCAGCAGTTGAAAAGACCACAGTTTATCTCTGTCTTCTCCTGGTGATAGACATTTGAGTTGTTTCCATGGTCAGATGAGTTTTCCTTCTTCTTTTATATACTGCCTGAATCCTGGATCAGATTACATAGCAGAAGCTATTAGGTTATTGGGGTGGAGCAATAATATTACCAGATCTAGACTATCAGTGGCTCCTATATGTAACAGGAAGTATAAGTGCACATTTGATCATCAGACTGCAGGATATAGTTTTAATGCTGATTTCTGCAGCAGAAGGACCTGCTTTGCCTTCATGCTGTTATGCTAAATGAAGGCTCATTTAGAATGTATTACAGATATCAAATTGACCTGAATTCAGGAAATACTTTGCTTTGAGACTTCTTCTCAAGAAATCCATTTGAATTTACTATAGGCTGATTCTCACTCCCTATCTCCAGACCTTTATATCTAACTGCATATATTTCTCAAAACAGATGCCTTCCCTATGGCATCTCAAATTCTAAATTAACAAAATCGAATTCATTAACTCCATCTCCAAATGTTTATCGTCATCCTCCCAACTTACCAGCTAGAAACCTTGGAGGCATTTTAGATCCTCCCTTCTTTCACTTGTTGGCGTCCAGTGGAAGTATTTTGGCTTCCATTTCCTAAATGTCTCTCAAGCTTGCCTCTCTACTTCATCTACTAGTATGACGCATTTACTAGTACTTCCATTTTATTTCAGACTGCCTTTCTTGCTTGGACAAACATAGTATCCTGTCTAAGCTCCCTGCCTCCAATAGCTCCCCAAAGTGATCTTTCTTTTTTTTTTTTTTTTTTTTGTCTTTTTACTTGGCCCGCAACGGGCCGCAACCCTCAGTGTCGCGCCCGTACCGGACCGGACCGGGACCGGCCATGGGATCGCAGCCCTCGGTGTTGCTCCCGCCCCTCGCTCAGCCAGTGAGCGGCCGGTCTGTATGTGGGATCCGAACCCTCGGCGGGAGCGCCACCGCACTTCCCAAGCGGCGCACTATAGCAGTGCGCCACTGGGCTGGCCCCAAAGTGATCTTTCTAAAAGCAGATCTGTTCATGTCTCTCCAATGCTTACAACTCAGTGGCTTCCCCTTCATCTTCAGGATGAAGTACAAACTCATTATGTAATGGTGTAATGGCTAATTGCCATGGTCTCATCACAGCTTACCTACCCAGCCTCATCTCACTCTACTTTCCTATTTCCTGTGCTACAGCCAGATTGAATTTATTGCACTTCCTGAAATGGACCACATTCCTTCATGCCTACAAATATTTGCATTTGCTGTTTCCTCTCCTGGAATATTTCTGTCTCCCCCATTTAATCCTACGTTCTTCTGACAGACTCTTGTGCATCCTTCAAGATTCAGCTTACATGTTACTTCCAGGAAGCCCCCTTGACCTGACCTTCCCCTTTTACAGCTTCTGACCCTTTACCCCTCCTGGCTGAGTTTGGTGCTTTATTTTCTTCCTGTGTTTGTAATAGCATCCTCTTAAACTGCATTATTATTGATGATTTGCTTGTTTATCTCTCCCTCTAAACTGGGAGCTTCATGAAGTAATAAAGTGTAGTCCTTAGGAACTCAGGTCAGGTTATAGTGTTAGACCTGGATTTGATTCCCTGCTCCATCGTTATTGTGTGACTTTTGGCAAGTTCCTTCACTTTTCTACGCCTTAGTTTCCACATCTGTAAAATGGAGATAGGAACTGTATCTACCTTTATTTAAGTGTGTGTGTCAGGGGTCCCCTAGATCACCACCAGGTTCGATTATTCACTAGGAGGACTCACAGGACTCAGTCTATAGTTTACTCGTTGCTATCACTTATTACAGAGAAAGGATGCAAAGCATAATCAGCAAAGGGAAGGTGTGTGGAGCAAAGCTTGCAGGAAACGAGGTGCAAGTTTCCAAATGTCCTTTCCCAATGGAGTTAAATAGAACAAACTTAATTCCCCCAGCAATGAGTTGTGACACACGTAAAATGTTGCCTATCAGGGAAGTTTATTAGAGACTTTGTGTCCAGGATCTTTATTGGAGGCTGGTCATATAGACACTGTCTGCCTGACATGTAGTAAAATTCCAGGCTCCAGAAGGAAAGCAGGTGTTCAGCATAAATGATATTTTTGCACAAACAGTTTAGGCATAGTGAGCCATTCTTATCAGAAATGGTGGGAACCCTCCCAAAATCTAAGTTCCCAGATGCCAGCTAAGGGCCAGTCATACAAGCAGAACTTCCTAAGGTTAGCAGTCTCAAGCCAGCAATGTTACCTCTTTTTTGCATAGCATAGAAAGCACTTAGCATTTTGCCAGGCTCTTGGTAAGCATTTCACAAGTAGCTGCTGCTGCTGTTTTAGGTAGGGGCTCTTTGTTTTACCACTGTTCCTAGTGCTTAGCACAATGCTGAGGCCTAGGTTGTCTCACTAACATTAATAATCATAACAACTTCTGCGCTCCCGCCAAGGGTTCGGATCCCACATACAGACCGGTTCCCGCTCACTGGCTGAGTGAGGTGCGGGTGCAACACCGAGGGTTGCGATCCCGTTGCCGGTCCCGGTCCGGTCCGGGCGCGACACTGAGGGTTGCGATCCATTGCCGGACACGAAAAAAGACAAAAAAATAATAATAATCATAACAACTTCTTATACTACTAATACTGTGATCTGAATGTTTATGTCCCCCCTAAATTTGTACGTTGAAACGTAATCCCCGGTGTGATGGTATTAGGGGGTGGGACCTTTGGGAGATGATTAGGTCACGGGAGAGGAGTCCTCATGAATGGAATTAGTGCCCTTATTAGAAGCCCTGGAGAGCTGCCTTGCCCCTTCCACATGTGAGGGCACAGCTAAAATGTGCCATCTATAAAACAGCAAGTGGGCCCTCACCAGACCCCAAATCTGCCAGTGCCTTGATCTTGTACTTCCCAGACTGTGAGGAGTGAATGTCTGTTGTTTATAAGATACCTACTTTACGGTATTTTGTTATTGCAGCCTGAACAGACTAAGAGAACTGGTAATAGATGACACATATTAAAAAGTAATTATGTGCCTGGCTTTGTTTTGTGGATTTGACAATGATTTGTTTATTTAGTCCTCATCACAGCTCTGTGAGGTAGATCATATTTGTTATCTCAGTTTACAAATGAGGAAATCAAGGCACAGAGAAGTTGAGTAATTGGCCCAAGTTCTTTCAGCTTATAAGTGGTGAAGCTGGGACTTGAACTCAGGTCTTCTGACTCCAGAGACTCCTCTTAACTGTCCATTGCACTGCCTCTCAGTAAATATTGGATGGGAAGTGGTTTGACAGGTAAATACATGTTTAAGATGTATTTAAAATTCATTTAAAATCAATTGTTCAACCACCTTTAAAAACATTTTGGGGATAAAATGGGGAAACATGATTAAAGACTGGGTACTATACAGTATTATTTTTAATTTGGTTATGTATGATAATGGTATTGCAGCTATGAAGAGGAATGTTCTTATTGTTTAGAAATGCTTAGAGGATTTAGGATGAAATGTCATGTCTGTTATTTAAACTACTTCAGCAAAATAAAAATTGAAGAAGCAAACATGGGAAAACATCAGCAATTGTTAAAGTAAATGGAGAGTGTTCATTCAGCCATTTTCCCTACTTTTCTGTATTTTGAAAAAATTTTAATAAAAAGTAAAAAGATTTTTAAAAGTGAGTGATTTTTTAGCACTAGCAAGCAGTGCCCAAAGTAGTAGTGCTACCCATATGCTTTAAAATAATCTGGATTGTTGGGGGAAATAGATATCTCATTAATATATTGACTTATTGAAAGCATGTTATCTGCTAAAGTCTTTGATGCATCTTAGAGCTTTAGATTGACATCCCTTTGTTTTATAGATGAAGATACTGAAACTTGATCAATATCAGTGAGATTCTTAGTTGTAGACCAGCCTGTGATCCCTCATTGGAGAGCCTTTTCCCCTTTATCCCAGGACTTTACCTTTGGAAAAATAGTGTGACTTTTTTTATCATTGCAAATATATTTTTATGTACTTGGTCTAATACAGTCATAACAGATTTATTTACTACCTTTTATTCTCATAGCATGCACATGCACACATACGTGCGTGCATACACACAGGTGCACACAATTTATCTGCTTAGCATCTCATCTCTCCACATTATACAGAGAGATAGTGTCACTTCCACTTTACAGGTAGAGAAGACCAGTTATCTTAAGAAGCTTTTTAGTGATCCCAATTACTTAAAGTGTATCCAGACCTAAAATAAGAATTGTCACTTTCTGGCTCAGTACTGTAGTCTCACACTATTGAAAACCCACATATGAAGACAACCTCTCCTTGCATCTATCTCAACAGGCTTCTGATGGAAGCAGCTCCAGAGAAGATCTTTCATCTCAACTTTTGAGAAGGAACGAACAGATACGGAAATTGGAGGCCAGACTTTCTGGTATGTCTAAGAACTCACAGAAAGCAAACAGGAAACTTGCCTTGTCTGGCCCTCTATTGGTATAAAATAGCCATATAGTATAGCTTTATAGTTATTTTGTCATATCATTTTGATCTTCTTTGTCAGAAAGGAGCAACTTGTACCCCCTTTGTTCCCTTCTTTTTTTAATGTATTAAATAGTGTAAATTCAAAACTTAATTGAAAATGTATTAAAAATCACACACACACGGTTTTCTGCTCCTGAGGTTTCTAGCCATGGATATAAAAGATATTAAAAGTTAGGGTTGGCTTATTGACTTAGTTGGTTAGAGTGCAGTGTTGATAAAATGAAGGTTGAGGGTTTGATCCCTGTACCTGCCAGCTGCCAAAAAAAAAAAAGGTATATGTAGAATAGATTTGACCATCTTCCACCATTAGCATATCTGCTTTCAGGTGGAGAGGGAGAGGTGCTACTATTTATAGAGAATGGCCAACAAATGTTGGATTCATCAGCTCCAGAGAGGGTTTGGTGCTATGTTGCCACTTGCTACAGCTTATGTCACCTGTGTAAGTGTTGTTCTGGTTCTTCAGGCCACTTTTCAAGGGTATTTCTAACTTCAACACCTGTATAGAAGCTGTAACTCATTATGTCTTTTGTGTGCAGTTTACACAGCTACCGTATTATCCTTTGCCTGAGCAGGGCATGTTTGTGATAGAATTGTGAGTTCTTATTTTGGTTTCTGCCAGTGGATGCATTTTGAAAGCTTCATCCTGTGAAGTGATCCATGGCTACTATGTTTCTTTTTGTCCCTTGGCCTTATGCCCATTACTAGCATGAAAGCAGTATACCAAAATTCACCAAATTGTACATGAAATATTTGCATTTTTGTAGCTATCAAATGTTCATAGCATAACTCACAACTATCAGTTAATCATTTTATCCTCACTATGGCCTTATTAGGCTTAGCAAGGTTAAGGTCACACAAGTAGCAAGTGGTAGAGCTGGGATCCAAACCCAGATTTATTTGATGCTAGAGTCCATACTCTTAATTACTGTCTGCTTTAAACTCAATTGTTACTATCTTGTTACTACCACCTGTAATTAATATCAGTGATGGAGGTGAAATAACCTTACATTTACTTAATGTTGGGGAGATAGTTAGAAAATAATATATGTACCTTCCCTAATACAAAAGGAAAAATAATCGGGTTTGACTAATGTTAGAGAAGGGACAGGGAAAAGAGCTGACATTTACTGAACACACTTGTGTCCAAGTATTGTCCTACAGGCTTGTTATAAATAATAACAGCAATAACAACTGTAGCAGCCACATTTTATTAATCATTGTGTGCCAAGCACTTAAGGCGTATACAATAATTTATTATCTGATACATCCTTTGAGGTAGGTACAATTAATATCATCATTTCATATACGAACAAACTAGTACTTAGGATCAATAATTTGGTCCGAAGTCCTTGATGTTCTCAGCTAAGGACTGACAGAGTTGAGATTTGAACTACTGTCTACTTTTTCACTATACCATACTATCTTCTTTGGCCACCCAGGTAATTAATTCTGACTTTCATCTTTAATATGGCATAGGTAACTCAATTTCTGTGTAGAAAGGGAGCTCACTTTTGTAGAGAATTAAGTGCTTTTACCATGAAGAAAGTACTGGACTAAGGTGCTTGCTATTGCCCTAACCGCTGTTGCTCAGTTGTGTGGATGACAGGCGAGCTGTTCAGTGAGTTCTTTTTGATCTGTCCTCCTGCTGAGGCTGGAAGGGGAAGTGAAAACTGAGATTTGAAATTAAGTAATGAGATAATACTGTGTTTTTCCTAGAGCATTTCTGATAACCAGGCCAAGCCTAATTCTTGTTCTCTATCAAAGCTAAGCAAATCTGCCTGTTTGTATTCACCATCTATACCATGAATAGTTTGTACTTTACCTGTTTGCCTGTGTTGTTCATTGTTAATGGGAGGCTGTCCACCTAGCTTTCCTTAACAGGAACAGTTTTCAGGTTGAGAAAATCATCATCATTTTCACTCATTTTTTTGTTTAATTAACTTCCTTTCCTGATGTTTGTCCATTCCTGGTATGTGCATCACCCTCCTCACCCAAGACTATGCTGAACAGGTCCGAAACTTGCAGAAGATAAAAGAGAAGCTTGAAATTGCATTAGAAAAACACCAGGATTGTACGTATTTTTTCCTGCTTCTTTAAATCTTTTTAGGGTTTAGTTTTTTGAAATGAAACAATAGTGTATGGTTAAGTTTATCCTTCATCAGAGCTCAAATCTTTATTTTATAAGTAGCGTACTACTTAATGAGGTTGATATAACGTGTCTGATATTTATAAGTATACAACGTGTGTTTATGTTGTATTATGGGCATGCTTCTTAGGTGGAGACAATTACCTGTATTGCTTGTTTCTGACCAGTTGACCCATTTATTGGCTGTCCTTAGGTTTTAGTAAAATCTAGTACCTGACCCTGAAGTCTAGATGAGGAGACAGGTTATAGCCATAGCTTCATTACTGCTGTGTTGAGTAACTGGGGAAACCTCTTTACTCTCAGAACAATAGAGCATACGTTTTGTTCAGTCTATCCTAAGTCATATGTTCTCCTTTGGATACCATCCAAGAAAGTTGCTAACAGAAGTAGAAACTTTTTTGTTTCTTTGTTTATGTGATATATTTTTAAGGAAACTACAATAAAAGGAAGGTTTTTTGTTTTGCTTTGTTTTTGTTTTTAATTCTGATAAAGTGGTAGTAGCCATCACTTTAGCAACAACGTGGGTGTTTTCTGGCAACCTACCTAACTCAGGTTCTGTCACTGTACCATTAAAAAGTTAACTTTTGGCATCATCCTAAATGTATGTAGTTGACTAAAAAAACAAAAACTGTGGTCTGTTACTAAGGCCAAAAGATTCTTCTGGGAAGTTGAGATGGATCAGGCTTTTCCCAGTCTCATAATTCACCTATGTGACCTTGGCCTTTTTTGTTAGGTGACAGTTGTAAAGTAATCTCATGGGCTATTTGTCATGCTGTTTCTGAAGTATTTCCATATCTCAAATAGAGCCTCTTTGTTAACAGCTTCCATGCGGAAATTTCAAGAGCAGAATGAGACATTCCAAGCCAACAGAGCCAAAATGGCAGAAGGACTGGCTTTGGCATTAGCCAGAAAGGACCAGGTATTTTATATATGGCACTGCCCAAGACTGCTAGACAGATTTCACTTAATGACATGATTTCAAAAATCCTGACATAAACCTGGTAGTAAATGCTTACAACCTAGGAAAAAAGGAATGATATATAAATTAAAGTTTCATTTGGCCTTTTCTTGTACAGTCAAGAAACTTTACAGTTTTAATTGTGAGTTGTGTCCAGAATGTGAGAGTATCATTCTCTATATCTGTGTAGCTTTGTAATATTGAGAGAGGAAATAGCATCTCCCAAAATAAGGAGTCCCCAAATAAGGAAAAAGTTCTCTGCTTCTAAAAACCTGTCTCAAAGCCTATACCCCCAAACTCTTGCCGTTTATAGTGGAGAAGATGCTATCAAGCTAGTCATAATTTGTAATGTACATAATTCTTCCAACATCTGTTCACAAGTTTCTTCAACCCCAGCCAGCTGAACACAAGGAAACTCCTATAATCTCAATAGAACCATCCACTGAAAGATGCTGAGTGAATAACAAGAAAGGAAAATAATACTATTACTGGCTGTTACAATAATTATGAAGTATATTTTATTCAAGATAATGGCATTTTAAATTTAAGATATGCCTCAGTATATTGTAATGATAATCCTAGTTGATTAAGACAGGGTGAACTTATTATGTTTCATTTATACAAAAATGTATAATTTATTCATTTACAGTAGGTGGGATGGGTGGTTGGTTTGTTTTAAAGTGTGTGTTTGTCATCTATATTTACTAGCCAGAAAAAAAATCATTCACCAATACTCAGTGGTAGAAGTATATATATTGAAATAATCTAAAATTGGTGGATTCTGATTGTAAACAATCAAGATATGGCCTTTCGTACTAATGTTTATTCCCCCCCACCCCCCATTTTATCATTCGTGAGTAAGGGGCATAGTCCCTTTTCCTGTGACTTGTACCAAATGGCATAAAGCGTGTTGGTACAATCAAGATGACAAGGAAAATAACTTATCAGGGGCTGCTGAAGATCCTCCCCACTTTCAGTAAATTAATCTCTAAACATCACTTACAGTATTACCCAACTCAGCTGGTCCCAGCTTCCCACTCCCAAGAAATAACAGTACTCATGGGAAAACCTTCAGGAGTAAGCTGAAAAAGCTGCATAAGAACAGCAGATACAGCTTTGTTTGGGTGTCCTGCTTAGTAGAAATCTGCAGGCTTATATTTGTAATCTAGAATTTTACATAAAGTTTATTTTCTTCTCTTTTTAGGACTCTTGTTCTTAATATTAAGCCAAGTTAATGGATTTTTTAAAATTTGCTTTGTTGTTTGTTTCCTTGGTTAGTTGCTTTTGGGGGGAAGTTGGTTGTTTTGTTTTCTGAAAATCTTGGTATTACAGATACTCTTCCCTGGAAACTATACTTTCTTATTGTGTTGTTTTAGGAATGGTCAGAAAAGATGGATCAGCTTGAAAAGGTTAGTTCATCTTTATGTTTTTGTCTCATTATTCATATTGGTCTCATCTCTGGGGCTTAGAAAATGTTTTGTCCAGTAACCAAAGTACTGATTGCTATCACACCACTTGGAAGCCAGACACTGAAAGATTAGATACTGACTTGAAAAGCTGTGTCTTCATCTTTCTTGGTGGGTGTATAGGATCTGTTTTGTTTGCCCCTTCTAATAGGCTCTCCATCCCTCTCTTCCCTTTCTCTGCATACCTGAAGGCTAATAGGGAATGCATCAGCAGGGCTGAAATGCCCTCTGACTTCTGACTGGGTTCAGCCAGTGGGGAACATCAAAAGAACCATGTGTGGAAGAAGAGTGTGGTTAGGATGTGTGTGGGATCCCTCCAGCTTGATTGATCCCATGGCCAAAAGTCACAGCTTCTGTTGGACCTTTGGTTCACCCACTTGATGTAGTTTTTCTGTTTCTGGGTTTCTTGTAACCCCTTCATGCCCAACTGTTGCTACCACAGTATCTCTTCTGGACTTTTTTACCCAGCCCACAGCTTGGTTAAGTCCCTTTATGAAACCATCTGTTTCCTGCTGGGGTCCTGATTGACACCATGGTAACATTAGGAATGCTTGATGGAGCAATGTGGAAGGAGGGCATTTCTCAACGCTCAGCCCTGAGCACATATGACAGCCTCATGGCCAGACACAGATGAGGAAAATTGATTATTCTAGCACCGTAGCTTGTATAACACTGTGTAGGTGCCTTAAGTAATGTGTTCCTGACCCCCAGATATGAACAAGAAGATGAAATTCAAGACTACTATTGGAAATACATTTTAATGTAATACATCTGCTGCCTAATTCATTCCTTGTTTTCATTGAGTACTCCTAAATTACTCTTCATGGTAGAAAAATTATTTCTTAGATTGATATAGTTAGTTCCAAAGTATATTTACTGTTAATTTTATTAAAGAGATGAATTTTATTATTGCTTTATTCTTTCTATAAAGCAACAAGTTAAACCACTGATTTTCTTTGTGTATTCTGTAGAAATCTTAACTTTCAAGCTATCAGAATGCTTTAACATTTTTATATAAGGAAAGAGTTACAAAAAAGTCAAGCTATCTCCCAAAGAAACTTGGGTTTAAAAAAAATTCCCATTATATTGTGTTAATGATGGTCATCTTAAAAATGGAGGTATAGGTTAGGGTAAGGATTTCTTGTCTTAGAAGAAACTCTTAAGATTCTGGCAGTTGAAATGCTCATTGGACTGTTTTTTAAATTACGGTAAAAGGGATCCCTGTAGGAATAAATCAAATAAAATCTACTTTAATGCATTAAGGGTATTTTCTGTTTGTTTTGTTTTTTAGAAGGAAAGGTTTGGGAAATATTTTAGACCAGGAAAGAGTAATGAGACATCTATGTAGGTCTTTGAAGCTACTTTGATTTGTAGAGATGTTATTTAGAGATGTTTAAATTCTTTTCAGTCAAGAATTAGGGCTAGCTGGTTTATTCAATTGGCTACAGCATGGTGTTATAACACAGAGTCCACAGGTTCAGGGTTCAGATTCACATACCAGCCAGGTGAAAAAAAAAAAAGAGTTAGAAACTATAAGAGAAGAATTAGTCCTTAAGAGAGTCCATCTTGAGAAGCTATCCTTTAGTAACCTGTTGACACCAGTCATGTCTAATTTTTTCTTTTACTTGCTAACTGGAATCAGTTCTACTTAAATGCATTTAATTTTTTTAGGGCATTCAGTCTTACTCCAGGTTATTCATGTTTTCCAGTCAATGTGTCACTAAGAATAGATATGTAAAATGTGTATCTGGAACTGCTAGGCAGACTTAAGAAGTTTAAAGTTTTAAGTAATTATTCCTCTTGTTCCCCGTATACACAATTAACATTTAAAACACATTCATTTTTATTCTTTTTTTTTTGTCTTTCTTTTTTAGTTTTTCTATTTTATTTTTATTTTCAAGCACATTCCTTTTTAACTTAAAGAATTTCTAAATAATGCCATGTTGGTCATATTACTGTAACATTTCCCATTATTAATGTATTATTATCTTTTTGCATTAAATTTCCTTAAGATTTTTCTTTATTAAGAACCCTGCTTGCATAATACAGATTTCTAATGTCTTAGTTGCCTGAGTTGATATCTTCTTCTTCCAATAGGAGAAAAGGTTTCTGACAGCTCAGTTACAGGAAATAAAGAACCAGAGTTTAAATCTTTTCCAAAGGAGAGATGAAATGGATGAATTAGAGGGGTTTCAGCAACAGGAACTAAGTAAAGTAAAACACCTGGTATGCATTTTTGTTTTAGTATCTAAATACTGAATCCATGAGTATTTACTCTGATTTTGCTAGTTATCGTTCTCTAATTGCTGATAAACATACCCCAGAGTCTTTGATATTGATCATATTTGTATGTTTTTTAATTTACTCAAATGGGAAAGTTCTGTTTAAAATTTATTTCCGTTTTCTTTTTTTTTTTTAATTGCTGGGCATATAAGCCTACAAAAATGTTGTAAAAGTTATATAATTGGTCCAGATTTTTTTTTAAGTGTGTTTCTTAGTGGTAGCCCAATAAAACTTTATATCTTTGTGTCAGCTTTTAAAAAAAGAAGAAAGTCTGGGAAAAATGGAGCAAGAGTTGGATGCACGAACCAGAGAACTTAGTCACACCCAGGAAGAATTGATGATCTCTAGTCAGATGTCATCAGACTTGAGCCAGAAGCTGGAAGAATTGCAGAGACACTGCTCAGCGCTGGAAGAGCAGAGGTTCTTGCTTGGTCTGTGGGACCCTGGGGAAGAGGTGTTAGTATAGCTCTGGCTCTAGCCCACCCACTTTTCTCCATTGCTCCTTACAACTTTCTGGTCTCAGTGCTGGCAAAGGCTTCTGGACTTGTTTTTGCCTGCCTTAGACTCAGGGCCCACCCCCCTCTACTCCCACCCCAACCCCAACTCTAACCCTTCACCTGCCTAGGCTCAGAACCATTCCCACCCTGCTGAGCAATTTAACATAGTTTTGGTTTGTAAGCTATTTAGTCAGCAAAGGAAGATCAGGATTTCTTCCTTAAACTGGGTGGACTTTTTCTTTGGGTTTCTGCTTCAGAGAGAGCCAAGGAGTCTTTTCCATTGATAACCTTTATGTGGTTAATGATGTTTTCAGCACTGACACATAAGGAACCATCTATATTTTTCCTGTGGAAGAATGTGTCTTAGATGAGATATCCAATTTTATTCATTGTTTGCTTTCTTTCAATGAAGAGATCATGAGACATCTTCAAAAACAGGTGCAGAAAGTAAAATCATAGCCCTGGAACAAAAGGAACAAGAACTGCAAACATTCATTCAGCAGCTTTCCATTGATTTGCAGAAGGTAAGTAGAGTACGAAGAGTCAGCCTGAGTTCTTAGGATTCATGAACAGGGTAAAAACTGATTCTGTCAGAAATTTGCACCTCAGCATTATCTGCTGAAACATATGTTTTTATACCATCCACACTGCCCTGTTTCCTGTGCTAGCCAGGCTACACAGAGATGGAAATGGCCACAGAGCTGAACAAGGGCTGCTTAACAGAAGAGGTCAGTATTGCCCTGACAAGAATTCTCCAAGCACACCGTTTGGGCTACTCAAATATGTCTCTAAAGTGCTACACAATGGACCTTGAAATAAGAAAAAATAACAGTTGTGGTTGATGTGGCCAGGGTTTTACCTTTGACATAGTTGGCTCTAATCCAGTTTGTTATACAGCACATAATCAAATGGTATCATTACAATTTGTTTTTCATTTGGTTAACGTACATTAATTGCTCCCCTACTCTAGGCCAGTGCTAAATTCGGAGAATATAAAGATGAACAATAATAATATTGAGTATAAAGTTTTATAATGTTTCATATTGGCATTTTGAGCAGAACAATTTGTATTATATAATTGTCCTTTGCACTGCAGGACATTTAGCTTTCCTGGCCTTTGGGTTCTCAATGCCAGCAGCGCTCGTCACACTTTAGTCATTGACAATCTAGCCTTTCCCCTCACATGACAAAACACTCCCTCCCTGGTGGTACCACCCACTCTCCCTCATCTCTTGATAAGTGCTCAAGTGAGATTTTAAATGGCTCACTCTCTACATGGGCCTATAATTTTCTCCATATAGGTTTGTTATCTATTATTAAATTTATTCCTAGGTGTTGTTGTTTTTTTTTACACCAATTGTAAATCGTGTTATTTAAAAAATTTTTTAAATTTGTTGCTGGCATATAGAAATGCTATTCTTTGTATATATTGGTTTTTTTGCATAGTTTTTAAATTCTTAAGTACAATAATGAATTTATAGATTCTTTTGAGTTTCTTTTAGAGCAATCATATCATCTGTGAGTGAATATTGACAATTTGTTTGTTTTTTTCCAATTCTTATACCATCTTTTTTGGTCTCTGCCTTTTTCTTTTATCTAAGATACCAGGTGCAGCACTGAATATAATTTATAAAAGTAGGCACCTTTGTTTTATTCTTGACCTCCAATGTTTTGTCAACAAATATTTTATTTTCTATTGATTTTTGTTAGGTTAAGGAAATTCCTTTCCATTTTTTTCCTAAGTCAATTTTATGAGGTCTGATGTACATACAACAAAATGCACACTTTTTAAGTGTACAATATGTTGAATTTTGAGAAATGTATACCCATGGAACCACTGCCACAATCAAGATACAGAAAATTTCCATCACCCCACAAGATTCCCCTGTGTGCCTTCCAGTCAATCCCCACCCTCAATCCCTGGAAGCCACTGATGTGCTTTCTATCACTATAGATAGAATTGCCTTTCCTAGAGTTTTATATAAATGATATTATACAGTATGTACTCTTTTGTGTTTGGCTTCCTTCACTTAGCATTATATATCTGAGATTCATTCATTGCTGTGTGTACAGTGATTTATTCCTTCTTATTGCTAAATCATTAAGTAGTCCCTTACTTAGATATCCAATTTCTTTCTCCATTTATCTTTGACGGATTTTTGGAATGTTTCCAATCTTTAGCTACTAAGAATTAAGCTGCTGTAAACACTTATGTACAGATCTTTTTTTTTTTTGTCTTTTGTCTTTTTCCATGTCCGGCAACGGATCGCAACCCTCAGTGTCGCCCCCGTACCGGACCGGGACCGGCAACGGGATCGCAACCCTCGGCGTTGCTCCCGCGCCTCGCCCAGCCAGGGGGCGGGAACCGGGCTGGATGTGG